AGAGAGCTGAAGTGGGAAGTGGGGGGGACTGTGGTGGAAACCGAGGCTGCGGTGAGGAAGAAGAGGCCACCGCACTGTGCCGACAGCATGAAGGAAGGGGACCCAGGAGCTGGGTGCAGGCCATGAGACCAGTGCTGCACAGAACTCTGCACTCAAACCTCACTTGACCAAGATCCTTAGGAATCCTGTGAGTGGCTGTAACCTGTTGTTCTCATATTACAAATGAGAAAAGTTTGTGGAGGTTAAATAGCTTTTTCTGTGTCCACTGGTGCCTCACGGGCAGCTGAGAGCCTTGAGGGTGGAACTCAGCTTTGACTAATTCCAGACAAAACCAGGTCTAGATTTGCATGAGGGAGCCAGCTGCAGCCTCGGTCCCCGTGGTCCTCCAGACCGGGCGGAGGCCAGCGTTCCACACCCGAGAAGGGCGTCACAGCTGGCGGTGTGTGGTGCACACCTGCAACTCCCACACCGAGCGACACACAGCTACCCCCAGGTGCCACAGCATGCTGCAGGCGGCCCCACAATACCGACTGGAGCTGCCAGGCATAGAGTCCGGTCAGCCTAACACACACGCGCACACACACACACACACACACACACACACACTGCCAATGCAACTGTGAAGTGTGGAATCGTCTGTCCCCACAGTGAGAGAGAACTGGGCTTGCAAAACCACCCGGAAACGTCCATCACCCTCCGTTCTCTTGTACAGCAACGGCATTTTCAACTTTTCTCTGGCTCTCACAGCCAATGCTGGGCGTGGCACCGAGTTGTGTGTGGTGTGATCTTTAGTGCATTTAGGGCCCAGCGCGGGCGGGGGCTCCATCCTCAGTAGCCCAGCCAGGCCCCCGAGATCCTTCCTCACTGCTGACCAGGAAAGGGAAGAGTTCGATCATCCCTTTATTTTCAGTGTGAGGTGTCTTCCCATTGAGCTGCACACAGAGTCTCCGAGTAACTCCATCTTTCAGTGGCTTTATTTTATCATCACCAATCTTGTCCATCTAGTTCTTTTTCTTCTTCACCAGGATGCTGTTTTCATAAAACAGCCTGTGGACGTCTGTATGCTTTCTCCTCTTCATTTTGTTTCTCTTACTTGATACGCTGGGACGTTCTATCATTTTGTATCTCTCTCCCACTGACGCTGCTTTTGCTTCTCTGCATTTCAGTCGTGTACCTATTTATCTAGTGCTGGCAAATAAGACACCAACCCTTCAGATACGGACGTATCTCCCCAGAAACATGGTTACAATTTTATATGGATACTCGGCTTGGGAAATGTATCTTTCATTCAAATGGTCTTGGGGAAAACGTTTAGACGCGTGTTAGTGGTTTTCCCATCCATCATTTGCACCTGGTGACAGTGTGGACTGACAGACCATAATACCCACAACCGTGAGGGCCTGGGAACAGGGGTGATGAGAAATTTGTGAAACTGGACCCAGGAGGGGCAATGACAGCTTCTCAAGGAGCCTCCTGCGATTCCCACCGGACAGTCTCACGTGCCATGGGGCGCAGCTGGCCCACCACCGAGGCATGTGATCTGCGGTGATTTCTGAGTGTAGGAAGTTGCACTGTTTGCTGTCTCCTCTCGGTGTTCTCTTTCGATCAGAACCATTATTGCAACAACCGAGGGTGTGGTCCTTCATTTATTCAGCAAGCATTGCTGAAGCCCTGATTATGTGCCGGTCATGGTGGCCCACTAGGCGTAGAGATGAGATAGAACAAATACACATTCTCTGACCTTTGGTGCCGGCCATGAGAGTAGAAGGTCATCATCACCACCCTCCTGATATACACAGCTCTAAATGGGACAATTTAAGGGGGTAAAACAGTATCTGTACATTGGAAAATAGGCCATTTCCACTGGGGATTCCCTGAACAAAGGAGAATGAATGAGCCCAGCTCACCCCCCGAGCTTTCTGCTTGGGGGTTGTTGCTGAACTCCAGCACAGGGAGAAAAATTCAAGTCTCTTTGTCTTGCTGAGTTAAAGAGATATCAGATTTTTAAAGGGAAAAATTTTGGCTACAAGGCAGAGTACAAATGAGGAGGAAGCTAACTGGGTAAGACTTGAGAAATGGCATAGGGTTCCCTTGAGATTTGGGTTAATTGTTGTTCTTTATAGATACAGAGTAACACACCACAAGGCAGGAGAAAATAAAGTTCTGAGTAAAGAACAATGACAGGGTCTTATACAAGGAAGAATTTCCAGGGCTCGTGAATGACCAGGAATCATTTAAGTTTCTTTGAGCCGTGAGACATTAAGTGAAGACTCTAATTAGCTCTGCTATAATGGCCATTGAAGAGAAGCCTGTAAAATGTCTTTAAAACAAACCTTGAAAGAATCTAATTAATCCACAAGTAATTAACTGCCTGTCATAAAAGTCAAACCTTTTCTGAAGGAACACAAAAAGACTTCAAGATTCAGTAAGAGAAAATTCAGAATATCTGGTGTTTAGTTTGTTTTTTTTTAATTACTATGTGTATGAAGAAGCAGAAAATATGTGACCCCTAATATGGATAAAAATCGGTCAATAGAAGCAAACCCACGAATAGCTGAAATGACAGGATCAGCAAAAAATACATTAAAACTTTTAATATGCATGCCATATGTCCCAAATATTCAATGACATAAAATCACAGGCATGTAAAAAAAGAAATTGAAGGTTGTAAAGGACCCAAGTACAATTTCTAGAGATGAAAAGTAAAATATACAAAATTTAAATTCAAGATTAATAGCAGATTCGATACCACAGGGGGAAAAAACCCTTTAATTAATAGCAGTATAAACTATCCAAAATAAAAACAGAGAGAAAAAATACTTTAAAAAAAACTTGAAGCAAGCCTCTGTGACTTGGTGGACAATATAAAGTATATTAATATACTTCTTATAGAGTCCCAGAAAGAGAGGAGAAAAAAGACAAGACAAACACTTGAAGAAATAACAAAGTTGGATTTTTAGCAACTTCGATACAAGAACACAAAGCCCAGCCATAATAAAAAGGAAAAAAAAAACCCACACTGAAGTATATTATAATCAAGTTTTGAAAGACAGTGAAAAATATTGAGTTGCAGCCACAGGAAAGGGACCTGTCATTGGCAGAAGAGCAAACAGACGGGTAACAGCAAACTGTTCACCAGACGCCACACCATCCAGAAGACAGTGGGCGACGTATTTCAGACACTGGGAGAAAAATAAAGCTGAATTCTATATGCATCAAAAATATCTGTTTTTAAAAAAGATGTATTTATTGTAGAGAGAAAGGACAGGAGGGAGAAACAGAGGTAGCGAAACCTTGATGTGGGAGAGAAACATTGGTCGGTGGCCTCTCACAGGTGCCCCAACCCACTGAGCCACGCACAATAAAGATCAAATAAAGAACTCGAACATCTGAGAGTATTCGCTGGCCGCTCAGTCCATCAGCAATCCCATCCTTAGATATCTATCCTATAAAAAACTAAGCCCACACACACACAGTCAAGAGACATGGGTGAGGATCTTAACTGCAACATTGTGTACAGTACCAGCAGCCTAGAAACACGTCACGGCTTCTGCATTTGCTAATTCGCCCGTGTGCCACAATGTATCTGTGCCCTCACATGGAGACTCCTGGTGCTTTTGCAGTCATTCCCTGCCATGTGCAGAGTGACAAAAAATGTGACTTGTCTGCTGCTCTCTGCCTTCAGTGCACCTACTGTAGATCAGTCACTCTTTTTGTGATCTACAGGGTGTGGCATTTTTCACACCTTTGTTTTTTGTAGGTAATTAGGCTGATTAGAATGCACCCCCACCCCCAGAAATAATGTTCAGTGTTGTCTTATGTTTCCAAAGTATACGAAGGCCACACTGTGCCTTACAGACAAAGCACGTGTGTTCCATGAGGCTCGTGTAGGCACAAGTGATAGTGCCATTCACCATGAGTTCATGGTAATGAACTGACAGCATATGTATTCCGTAAGATGTCTTTAAACAGAAACACACCTAAGACGAGGTTGTGTGTGGGTTGGCTGACAACAATACTGTGACCAGAGGCTCGTAGGAACCTAGCCTTGAATTTGCCTTAGGAGCAGCATTCACTGATTCAGTGTTTTGGGGGATGTTGTCGACCACAACTGCTGTGAGTAACAGGAAGTGTAACCACCCTTTAGCACAGACTGAGAGAATAAATTCGGATGGAGCCGCACTACAGAGCACAGTGCGATGTTGAAAGGTCTCTAATTCAAGCTAACACAGTTGTTTTAAAGCTGCCCCTCCGAGTTATCGTCGCGTGAGAAAGAAAACTGCAGGGAGACGTGGAATCGATGTCACTGTCAGCTGTGGTCACACACCCGTGTGTTTGCTGGTGCACTCGTTTCTTTGAGCGACACACACTGGACAGAATAGAGAGCTCTTTCGACTGGTGTGGGGAGGTCTGTGTGGTGGGGTCAGCCCAGCAGATGAGGGGGTGTGAAGTCAAAGGGAAACAACACGTTCAATCAGCTGACTTGTGTAGAATCACCCGCACATGATGGAAAAACTGGTGGTCCTCTGCACACTGACCTGTGGGGTCAGGGCCCACCGTGGAGAGGAAGCCAGTCACCAAAGAGTGGGTGGAATGTGATTCAATTTGAGGGAGAGATTTGCTTACTTTAACCTTCGAACTATGAGAACGAACAAAGGGAAGTGTGTTTATAGTAAGGGATTGGGAGTCTTGTGGGCAAAGATGATTTGGTTTTTGTCTTTATTTCTAATTGACTTATTTTGATAGCTATAGCCAGGATTGTTTTTTTTGCTGAAATTTGAAAAAGAAATACAAATAAAAATGGGAAGCATCTTGTTACTGGGTCCCATGCAGTTAGCGAAGGGTTACAGCCCCTTTTAACAGACGTTAGGAAGTTGGCTGCCTGCTTGTTTTGTTAGCAAACTTTGGAGATGGCACCGGCCAGCAGAGTGTCCCTGCAAGACCCTGAGCTGTGTAGTCTCTGTGGTACATTAAAGCCTTCTGCTCTTTTTTCCTTTTAGGAATCCTTAAGAGCCATCAGATACGAAATATCTCCAGATAAAGAATACGCACTTTTCTCCTATAACGTGGAACCTGTGAGTACAGTGCCTTTCTGTCCAGGAAAGGATTGTTTCTCTATTCTGATACCTGATGAAGTATTTTTCCTCGAATGTCCATTCTCAGAGATCTTTGGGTCCGGAAATAGTGGGTCCTGTAATCATCTCTTTTTATGCCACACTGCCACCTAGGGGAGGGGAAAGGTATAAAAACCCCTTTGACAGAAAAAAAAATAGCCTTCCTTTTAGGGTTAGGATTTTCTCCGTGAGATGGTGAAAAGGTATATTTTTGTAGAGATTGATCTTAACCTGTATTGCAGGGTGGTTGGGTTTGGGGTGTGTGTGTGTTTTTAATTGTCTCAATCACATCATAAATTGTATCCCAAGAACAAAAAAAAATCATCTGGCAGCTTCTCCTGAAACCAAATTAAGATGCTCACTGTCTCCTAGTCATCCCCATCTCCTGGAGAAGAGGTGAAGCGTCACTTTCATTATTTAAATCCCTGTTTGGGGCACGTCACATAGGAGTCTCCTGTAAAATGTCACCAACAGTTTCCATCAACTCTCATCCTGGGCCTTAGCGGCCACCTACAACTGGGTATTCCTTCCATATTTTTTTCCTTTCAACTGGCTCATATTTTAAAATTAACTTTGGCTCTTTCATTTTAAGTGAGCCAGAAGGTAAAACTTACCTTGCATCCGCGAAGCCGACGTTTAGCTTATACGAGATTAGCGACTTCGGAAATGTGCCTTCGAGGAACTTTATTTTCTGGCAAAGAGCATGTTGACTTTCACAGACATTAGTTTCCCCCGAGGCCATTCTGATCAGAGCCCTGCTGTGGTGTCTCCGAGTCGGGGCAGGCGCCTGCCCTGCGATTCGGTCTGCACAGCCCTGGGCGGGTCAGGGAGGGGGGTCCCAGGCCCCGGATGGGCCAGCTTCAGCTCCGTCCCATTCCGGAACACGGAGGGTCGGTGGACATGGAGAGGCAAGTCCAATTCTAGTGTTCTTAGAACTTCTTCTAAAAGTGTTTGACACCTGGATTCTTTACTGGAGATGTTCAATTTCATTCTTCTTCAACGTAAGTCCTTTCTCTCTCTGGCTTTAGTTTTCCATTGTCTGGGAGTTTTGTTGTTGTTGTTCTTGTTAATATCAGTCATATAAAGGTTTTCATTTCCCCCATCCAAATTCTTTGGGATGACTGTTCATCTCAGTCTGTGGGAAGCCCGGTAGCTTGATAGGCTAAGGGGTGTCCAAACTTTGGGCGTCTCTGGTCCGCACTGGGAGAAGAAGGGCTGTCTTGGGCCACACGTTCAATAGACAAACACTAACAAAAACTGATGAGCAAAAAAAAAAAAAAAAAAGGGTTTTAGGTAAATTGACGATTTTGTGTGGGGCCGCATCCATAGCCATCCTGGGCCACATGCAGCCCACGGGCCTCAGGTTGGACACCCCAAGGTCACTTGTAGCCTCGGGGCTCTGCATGGCCTACCCCAGCCCCTCCCCTCCCCTCTCTGAGCTTCAGGTCCAGGGTCCTGGTGCGCAGGGATCGGGGAATGTTTCAGCCCCTTGGTCACCCTGGGGAACCACCCGAGATGTAACATCACTCAGCAGATGTTTGCAGGACTGTCACGGGGATGGGACGACATGTGTGTTCTCGATTGCTCAGGGGACGCGGCCACCACTGAGTGAGGAAAGCACAGAAGGGCAGGTTCCGGGTCATCTCAGTAGGGAATCTTTTCCTCGCGGGGGCATCCCAGCCGTGGGATGAATTACCGTGTTAGGCACCGAGCCTGCTGCTCCTAGAAGCCTCGCAGACCAAGTGCTACATCCGTTCCCCAAAGTCTAGAAGATTCTAATCTGTGATCCTGGGGGGCCGGGTGTGGTGGAAGTCGCCTCCAGCCTTCCTTCTCTTTCCCAGTGTTTTTGAGAAAGAGTCCCCTGGGATCTCGCTGCAACCGATAACTATTTGGTGAAAGAATATTTTGCTAAATATTTTGCGCCTTCACCGTGTAGAACAGGGACCTTTTCACTGGACGGCCTTCGGAGCCAGACAACGCTCAGCTTGTCCCACCTCGGGGAACACGGGAGAAATTTGGGTTTCTCACACACCAACCACAAGATGATTCAAGTGTTGCCCATGTGCGCTGTGTGGGAAATCTGTAGCGATAGCTATTTTAACCTGAATCAAGAAGTAGCTCTTCTGAGTTTTCAAGTCCTGAGCCGCTACTGTGCAGATGGCTGTCCAAGCCAGAGTCTTGTTCTTCTGGGGGGGGCGGACATAGAGCAGAAAAACCTCGAGATTCTGCAGGCAAACTTGGGGTTAAATGGCAGCGCAAACTTCCTTAACTGGATAAACTAAAACCTGGGTATTTCCAGAAAAACGGGGCAGGTCTCCAGGGAAGCGTCTTGGTCTGGGATCTGGGATGGCCCAGAACTTCCGAAATCTGTCTCTAGCATCAGAAGTATCCAAAAAAATAAGCTGTGTATTTATGTAAACTTGAGAACTCTAGTCAAACAAAGTTCAATGTTTTTGACTGCAGGATTTTTTAAAAAGCTTTGTATATTCTCATGAGGGTTATACAGTGCTTCCAAATGGGTATCACCACAGGTGATTTCTGTCTAATTGTAGAAACAAAAACAGCATTTTCTCCTGGGATCCTTGCTTATCCCAACCTTATGCACGCATTTCAAAGGCAGCTAGGATACCTCGTTTATATACACTCACTCCACTTTTCATTAAAAAGACGATCATAAAAAAACACTTTTGGGCTAAGTCACAATGTCCAATTCCTAAGCCTCTCTCATTTAATCGAATAAATGTTTTGTGCACAATAAGATCTCAGTGTATGAGGTTGCAGTTCCAGGAAAGAAATCTAAACATCACACACGGCCTCGGGAGTCCAGGACCATCCTCTCCCCGCCCTGGCTCTCCCTGCTCCCTGCTGCGCGCCCCCAGGAGTGGAAGAGCCCGGTGCCCATGCTCACCGGCACCCCTGACTAGAGTGGCCTGCCGGCTCTCCTGAGCTGTGTTAGGGGCCTTGCGTGTGGTCTGTGCTGCTGTGGACTGAATGTGACAGTACCAGGGGTCTCACTTGGCACCTGGCAGACAGCAGGTGCTCCATGAACTTCGTCCTTTTCCCTCCCGTGTCCCTCCCTGGGGCCTAGACACAGGGCTCACCCCCAGGAAGATGCCCAGCTCACTCTGGTCCCCAGGGGTGTTTGTTGCCCTCATTTTGTCATTCATGAAAAAGTCAGGCACCGATCTGTGTGACCGAGCTATACGCCCTTCCTGCCTCAAGCATACAAACAGTGTCTGCCAAGAGGTGAGCAGGAACTTGGCCCCTTCAGCCCCTTGGCACACCCTTCAGCCGCCCCAGTAGGAACCTCCTCCTCCACCCACACAGGTCAGGGACCCTCGTGGGCGCCCACGGTGGCCTGCACCCCACAGGACTGTAAAATCCCCAGATGCAGCCTCACACCCTGGCTGTCCCAGCAGGTCTTCCACTAACACAGGCCCAGTTCGCCAAGGCCGGGCCGCCCCACCGCCGCCCTCGGCCACTGGAGTGTGTCCCCGCCGTGTCCAGGAAGCCCTTTGCCGCAATGAGCCGCTTCAGCTCCCCCAACTTGAGTTGCTGAAGTGACATGCACTCGTGTTAAGCCGAGCATGTAAGAGGCATGTTCTGCTAAATAATCCTCTAGAGCCTTTCATGCTAAGGAGGCTTTGGGCTCCAGAGACGCGCAAGGATGCCTGTGGCGGCTCGTGGCCACTCAGCTGGGGAGGCGCGCTGAGGGGCTGGCTGGCTGGACGGTCATCACGGTCCCCTTGGCCCGTCTTATACTCTCCTTGGCTTCAGTGTGGAAGCAGATTATATACGGCGTGATGAAAAATTGAATTTGCCTTTATAGGAAAGGGGAAATTTCCCATTTATAGCTCTTTTTTTGTTTGGTGTCGAGTTCTCCAGGTTGTAAGACCTTCATAGGCTCATGGAGACGTCGCCACAAATCACCCCAGAAAATCGCTTCCTGTTGCCCCCTTGTAATCAGGCCTCCCCCCAGCCCTGCCCCCGCCCCCCCCCCCAAACTGCAGGTCTATTTGCTGTCTCCATAGTGTGGCCTTTTCTAGAACATCATGGCAATGGCAAGAAACAGCGAGCAGCCTTCTGAAAGTAGTTTTAGAAAGGACAGTATTTATTTAAGTGCAAACACGGAGGAAACCTTAGGCTTCTTTGGGACACGATCGGATCGCTTTCCCTGTGTGTGCGTTTAGGGTGCTTTTGCTATAAAAACTGAACTGCATTTTGCCTTGTCCCCTGTGACTCACGCTGGTGGAGTCCAGACCACACCCACCTCTGTGCCCCAGGGCCGTGTTCCCACCCAGCCCCCAGGCCTCCCTCTCCCTGCTTGGTGGGGGTCGGGGGTCCCAGGACCCAGGACCTGGCGACGATCGCCCGCTTGCATGGCCTCACCTGCTCCGTGCAGGGAACTGGCCAAGGCTCGGAGCGGATGCCAAGGGGGAGGACTGCAAACAGCATCCAGCTTTGCTAACGTACACACCCACCCGGGCAGCTGTCCTCAGCTGGAATGCGGGGGTTGGGGGCGGGGTCAGGCTCTGGTCAGTAATTTTCCTGCAGCCACATCTGCTCCCCGAGGTGATAATGGGGAGCAGCTGCAGGCAGACCTGAGGTCAGGGGAGCTCTGAGCAGCATCTGCTCCTGTTCCGGCCCAGGCTGCGTGTTCAATGCATCGGAGCGGCCGTGCACTCTCATTGGGCTCAGTCAAGGTCACCTCTCTGCCCCCAAGGGTCCCACCAAGGACGCAGGGGTCTGTCGCTGGTTAGAATGGCTCTTTAAGGTGCTAGCAGGGGACTTGTGGTCGGTGTTTCAGCTCCTGACCACAGGAAGGCCCTGCTTCTCCTGGGTCCCAGCGCCATCCCTCTGAGGGCGGGTGACGTGGGGCACGGGTGCTTTCCTCAGTTTCCCCACACCCACCCCTGGGCCCCCAGCACCCCCAGTGAACTTCTGTTCCAGTTAACACACGG